CTTAGGCAAGAAGGATACAATATTATGGTTGTCGATTTTGCCCAATGCAAGTGACAACTATCGATAGGCTTCTCCAGTTCCATGTCTGGCTGAATTTCACTAATGAAAATCTGAAACTATTGTAAACAATTATTCATTTAGGAAACGGAATACTTAGAAGAAATAGAAATATTTACTTACTTTCTAATCAATAATCTGCCACAATTTTTCGAAGAATTTATAGTGTTTGAATAAAAGATAAAAGAATAATAGATATAGCGATTGGGTAAAACTAGCAATGGTTTCTATCAATTGTGTCTCTCGTGGTCCTTCGACTGATATAAAATAAATTAATTTAACGGATATCGAATTGCCGTGAAGATCATCTAAGTTATTTTCAAGTAAGCTTTTCTCTGGGCTTCTGTTTTTCAAGCATTTCCAAAATATTTTATAAAAGAGGCTTTTAAAGGAGACATGTATAAAGTCATAACATTTAGGTGAATATGTTTGTGAGTAAAATTTCAAGCTCACGTACAAAAAGAAAGATTTTTCGCGAAATGTACGAACTTGGAAAGCATAGATCTTGCAATGAGAGACCCTAGTGTGAACTACTTGAAACGCAATGCGTCAGTAATAAAATTTATATATGCATACAAATGAAGAGCTATAATCTATTAAATATATTTTTATAATCGGTGATTCAGAAGAAAACGAGTAACATTTGTTGTACTACAGATCTACCATGAATTAACAGAAATTATTCGCTCGTAGATACTGTATGTCTTAAAAATTGGGTTTGCATTATCTTATGAGCTCAAACCATGAATCTCTGGAAGGTGATTCATAGCCAGGTAGTGACGCCTTGATGGTACCATCAACATTTGATAATGTGGTTGTCATAGCAACCGAGCTTTCTTTAGCGATGGTAAATTAAGTTTGTGACAAAATACTGTTAAGGAAAAATATTAACTAGAACTGCAGGTAATGGAAGAAACTTTCATCATTATTTATAATTTGAATATGTAAAACATTATTCTTTATCATTGATTACAGCAATGATAAACAAGTATGAATGTTGATTGCTGTGTGCTTATTTGCAAAATTAGTATTTGAAATTGCTTGTTGGACTGTAAAACTGTAAAGACTGTTTATATTGAGTATAAATAGGTTATTTAAAATAATTCATACCTTCTATAACAAATATTTACTGTTAATGCTACCAGAAATTGGAAATAACGCATTGGTGAAACATAAATATATGTAGTAGATTTGAAATCTTAAATTGATTGTAACTGCCTGTTGAAAGAGAGAAAAGGAAACAACGTTTCGGCTCTTATACTGAGGTCTTCTTCACTCGAAACGTCGGCTATGGTTCTTTCTTTCAACAGGTAGTTGCAGTCAATTAAAGTATTCAAACCTACTTTGGCTACTCTGCATAAAGTTCCATTGAAGTAAATATATATAATTATAAATAGGAAGTATTATGCCACACTAGTCTAATTACATTACAACATTTTTTGACTTGCTATAATCAAAGCCGTCAAATATTAAAAGAACTGTTCTGAATCGTGAGCTATAATACTTACGGAATGAAGCATTATTCCCTTCTTCTAATTATCAAAGAAACCGTTCTTTCCTGAAAATGAATGCATTTGTTCCTTAATGTATTATTACAACTACAATTAGTTTCGAAGCGTTAAAGCTAGCAATTAACATTCTAACAATGACAGCAATTACATTTTTCCCTTCATGAAATTTTGGTTCGTGATCAAACTCTATTTATCTTAGTCGTTTATGTATTTAGCTTTAGGGTTATGTTCTAAGCATTAGTTTTTGGCATAGTAAGAATGCCAAAGGCAAACAAAAGAAAAATATTTTATCTATGTTTCTGTAGGACTCACTAAAGGAAATACATTAACAACAAAAAATATCTTGGGTTTTCTGCGTTGTTTTGAATCATTTACGAAAAATAAGATATTTCGATGATATATTAGATTGCCGCGCCATCTTTTGGCGGAACTATAATACACTAATGTTCCCCTTTTTTTGTCAAATATTTAACATTTTAAAATGGAACGTTTGTGTGTGTTTTAATCTTAGAAGTAACAAAATGTAGGGTGTTTTAATATTTTTTATTATAATATAACACATAAAATGTTTACAAAAATACATTATTTACTTAAGTTTCCTTCATAGAATATGCATGATTGATATGATCTCCTGAGACCCAGATAATTGCGATTTAAGATAATCATATACAACTTTTGCATGTTATATTTATTTCGTTGTAGTTAACATGATAATAATGTAAACAAAAGGTAAGCCGCAATAGCCGCGTCACTTGAAATTATTTCAGGCTGGATTAGAGTAAATTAATATATGAGACTTTTTTTTTCCTTTTTACTAGCTATATTATTGTGCGCCAGCAATACCAAGCGAGGAGCGCTCGTATACCCGATGAAATTATATTATTCATCAGAATCTCTATCAGCCTACCCTCAAATTGAAATTCTTTAGGGCAAGATTAGAGTAAATTAATCTGTGAGAACCTTGGGCATGGTAAAATGCATCAATCGAAAGGGTTTGACCTCCTGGGTCCAAATTAGATCTCAAATTGTTCAAGAGATGACGGAGCTATGAGCTAAAAGTTTGTATTAGGTCGTCAAGAAATTAATGTCGCTATTTTTTAGATGAAAAAACCCGAACAACTTATATATATCAAAACAAAACTTCCCAACACAACTCCATAATCTTGTATTGCGTCAAACGTGCCACATGTGGAAGTGCTTTGTTGGGGAGAAGAAGAACACCTCCTCTGATTGACGAGTGAGGGCGTTTCTGCCGAAGGGTTTGATTTAAACGTTCCAGTTGCTGACTATAGATCTCTGCATTGACAGTTCGCTGTGGATTGAGG